CCACGACTGATTGTTATATACATTTATTCAATTTATTTTCTTCTTCTCAATTTATGTATCTTGAGTTTACTCGCAACAAACTGAGCCTCTCGCCACCCAGACTGGCGAGTTCGCTCGTCTTCCCTGCTTTTAGGTTGTCCTGCTCACTTTAATTGCCGGCTTCTTCCCACATCCCATTTCCTTCTTGAGGGTTTGTTACTTTTGCCTGACAAACGTGTTGTGCGATTGAAATGGAATTTTGATTGCAATTTAAATTCTAACTTTGTTCTTGCCTTATGCCAGCACTGTTTTATAAGGCATCTTTCAGTTTTTTGGTAAAGGCGTGTAGGAATACTCACGATCAGTTCTATCTCAGCTAGCTATTGATTTTGTCTTGTGTTTACACTATTTTATCTTTCGTGTCTCAGTTTAGTGTAACTGCGCGTAGTTATTTTCACGAACAGTTCTATCTGAGCTATTCTTCTTGTTTTTTGTTTGCACTATTTCATCCTTTGTTTGCAGCAGTATTTTTTTCCACGAACAGTTCTATCTGAGCTAATGTTTTTGTTTTTTGTTTGCACTATTTTATCCTTCGTCTCTCAGTTAACTGTAACTGCGCGTAGTTATTTCACGAACAATTCTATGTCAGCTATTGTGTCGGTAACATTCCCATGTACAGATGCGGTATTATAAGACGCTCGCGGCTAAGCAATTCGAGACTGTGTGGTCTTGCTCGTTAGCTTTCATTGTAAGCTGCGCCATCTGGTGACCACGCCATCAGTTGCTCATGTTGTGATTTCAAGAAATTTCTTCGTGTAATTATATCCGACTACGGATTCGGCTTCTTATATTATAGGTTAGAATCTTGTTTTTATTTATGAATGTAAGACATGAGGATTATACGCGTGAAATGCACGTCTAACAAGACTGTTGAATATTTAACACGACATTTGTTTATCAACATATTATCTTCGAAAATGTTTCTACAGAGGTTAATGAGCACTAGAGGTCAATATACTCCATGCATCAACTCTATTTGCTTTTATTTGTCTTGATGCTCGTGTCTCTAATTATGAAGATTTTTTGGCGTCATGCTCGTGAAGCTCTGCGATTTACCGTACAACTCCGCCGGTTGTGACTAGACGACTTGAGATCCGCGGCCGCCATGTAGACGACTTCTTTCCGCTTGGCCGTTGCCATCGAGCTGCTGCTATAAGTGTTCTTGCTAAGGATGTGTTGAAACATTGATGTTCGTGAGGAAAATTCGTTTTTTTTGTGCTCGCGGCGGCTTGCTTAATCCTGGAAAATATAGTTGGAGTAATGAAATAAGAAATTAATATCTAGTGAAAAGCTTATTCACTTCATATGTTTAGCGTTAAACATAACCGTAACTGACACTATCATCAACAGCTTTAAAAAATGGTGAGATTCTATTTGATTTGAATCCATCATAAAATAAGTGATATGATCTAGTATTTGTGATTTAATTTTCTTTTAAATATGGGAGAATGGGCTTCGAATTTTCGGAAAATGGGCTTCGAATTTTGTTTTATTTCGCATTAATGTTGTAGTCTTTTCTCTTCCTAGTGATTATGTGACAAATTATCTTCCTCGGTAGCGCATTTTCGGTATTCTCACAAATTCGATAAATTTAACGGCTCCCTGTTTACTTACCAGGTAAACCATCGCAAATAATTCACAAATTTCTAAACTAGTTACTTATTTAGCGATTAAACTTCGAATCTTGATGTTGAGATGTGGGCTGATATTTCAAGAGGTTCGTTACGTCCCGGAGATCCGTGAGTGACACATGGATTCAAGTTGCGGACGAGGTTACGCTTGCATGGGTGCAGGAAATGCCTTCAGACAATTGCTGCAGGTCTTGCAAAGCGTGCAGGATTTGGACCCGTTGTTTTGCGCTCAATTAAGTTCTGGGAAGCTAGCCTCCCTGTCACAATAATTAAATGAAGGGTTGTGGATAATTTTTCTGATACGAACATAATTGCTAACAAATATGACGGGTTTAAAATAGATGAATTTATAACTTCTAAGACCTTGTATTCTTTTCGACGCGCTGTTAGAATTCCGTACAACTTATATTATTATTATTATTTTAACAAAATTCTAACCCTGCGTTTCGATGTTGACCTGTTGATTGTATTATGATATCGTACCATATATAGGACTAGATTTCGTGCAATTTAAATCACTTGAAGTATCAAAGTCATTTTGTAATTAGCATTGCATAAGCATTCTGCATGTACGCTACATTAAACATAAACTTTCTGAAAAATCATACAGTTGAGTATGATTCATGCAAATCATATACTACAGTTGTTTGTAGCTTGATATCGAAATATTTGATGTAGTCCGAATTTCAAAGGTCGTCCATTTTCTGTCTTTTTGGTAAATGAAAAAATTAAAGTGGGGTACTTTTATCACTCTGAAGCACTTAAGGAACCAATATGTTGTTTATTTTTCGTATTAGTTTGAAATGAAGTAAAAAAACTATAAAATATCACCAATTGACCTCTCGATAATAATCACGTAATTATAATTGATTATGATACGGCTTGCCATATCATTGATGATATCAACTTCGACATCGAAAGCGATTCCAATCGCGATATCAATTATAATACTAATCACGAAATCGGTGCATGGAAATACTACGGTGTGTTTTTCGTATCAGTTCAGTTATTTTATTGATAGATAAATATAAGCCTATTAATAAATGAACTAGTATAAGTCTATACTTATAATGAAGGTCCACAATTTCAGGTTTCCTTAAACCGCATTTTTTTCTTCTAGTAATAGTTTTAAATTTCGCGACAGGCAAACAATGTTAAAACTACGTTTACTTGACGTTTATTCAAATAGAAAACATTTAATGCAACATTGATTATTCAATAAATAACAGTGATATGACTGTTACCATAAATATTTTACATGTTTTTTTTTGCTTTTCCACTAATTGTAATATAAAATAAAATGCGTTTAAAAATTAATTTCTTAAGACAACACTTCCAAAGAGGCCATTCTCTCCGATGTTACACATGTACAATGAATTTTTAATTTTATTTGTAAATATTTAAAAATATTTTTTATTTAAAGCAAAATTTTTCTTAACTTTTTAAAATTATTTATTCTGTCAATTGATTCAAGCATTGTCTCTGCCTTTACGCGTGTGTGCAAAATTTCAGATCGATTGGACAATTAGAAGTGTGTTAAATATCGATTATAATATTTGTAGCAGACAACAAGAAGTGAAGTTAAAGAAAAGTGTTGTAATTGAGAAATAATCTAGTTCACTGCTGTTCGTGATACAATATAGGCATAATTTATATAGGCCTTCAGACCCAAATGGCCTCTTATGGGATCAATGAAACCTTTCACGGTCACTTCAATAGCGTTGATTGCGTGGAAGGTTATTGCTGGTATTAACATATTTAATGAACAATTAACTCCCGATCAGTTTTATAATTCACACTGAAACAGAGTTTAATTTTTTCTATCTTTCCATTTTTTCTTTTTACTTTTGATTAACAATTAACTCTAGATCATTTTTATGTTTCACATTGAAACAGAGTAGACTTTAATCTACCCGCTCAGTGTCCATTTGTCGATTATTAAAATCAATTATGGTGGTTTGGGTCAGAGTTTTTGCTTTCATTGGATTTTTTTCTATTGCTTCGTTTTTTACGAACCCAGCATATTGAGTTCAGTTTTCCTTTACAATTGGTTATTATAAATTTATTTCAATTCATTAGTAAATACCAATTTGACCAATTTGATAACTGGCAGTTTAACTTTAATGAACGAAGACATTGCTGAATTCCCTCCCAAATAGGTAATTGAACACGTTATCTAAATAAATTCTTTGAATGTTTCTCTTAGCGTTACATTTTTCATGGTTTGTCAGCCTCACTCGTTGCCTTGACTGTAACAGAATTGTTACCGATGTTACCGACTGTAGGTAATGACGTTTAACGAAGGTAATGACTCGAAGCGTGGCTTTGAAGGGCGATTCAATTTTTTTTGTGCTGATTGGTTCGTTCACTACCTAGCAGGACTGTGATTGGCTGTTTCAATTGCCTACAATTCGTATAGGTTTCCTTTCATTAGTTTACCATGAAATTAATTTTTTTGCTAACTTCTCAGATCTCGTACTGTGCCGCCGTTTCTGATTTGAATGCATGGTGACATTTTGACTAAGTGATTAGCCTTTCAAATTACTTTCGAATAAATTCATGTCATCTTATAATGATACTAATTGGCGAACGAAAATGAATTTTTGCGAAAATCGAACGCACTGCTGAAAAATTCTATGCCGAAAATTCCTCTACGCTGCAGAAAATTTATCCGAATTTTAGTCTCAGGTTTATAATTATATTTGTTTTGCTGGATTCAGGATGAAATGTTTTTACATATAAATAAATTTTAAACTTATGTGCCAATTAAGCTTTATGTCTGTTGTTAGTGCATATGAAATTGTGGCGTTCTAGTAGTAGCAAAGTTTCTTCCCATTTTGTTCAATTTTGCAGGTGAATTTGAACTGACCTTTTACGCATTTTTTCGCGTAATTATTGAAAAATTGGAGGAGCTCATTAAACTCCAAATGTTCATGTTAAGATATCGCACTTCGCGCCATATTTCAACCGTTGAGAAATCTTTTCTTTACACTACATCTTACAGTTTCCAGTATTTACGCTGGAAAACGAGAATTATCTAGTAAATTCAATATTTCACCATAATTAATTAATTAATCCACCATAATGGGATGAAGTTGGTAATAGCTTTCAATTTATTGTATGCTACTTAGTTATACTTAAGCTTGGAAGGTCCCAATCTGCCTGCATTAAATTTCGACTTTCATGTTCCTAAACTTTATTTTTTCGCAGGAAATTTCGAGTTTGACATTACTTTATTCAACTTATTATTTCAGTGACGATATTTTCGCAGGAACATTACATTACAGTATTGTCGAGTGTGACATTACTTTATTCAACTTATTATTTCAGTGACGAAAAATGCGAGCAAGCGTCGGAGCTCAAGGAGGAGCTGGAGCAGCTCAAGTCGAGTCTCAACAAAGTGAAGCAGGAGGTATGGTATTTAATTATATTGATCGTCTTTATATATGTTAAGTTATAGACTTATATATATAACTATCGTACGTGCTATAAGATAGCGCTCTTCCAGCTTAAATATCAGCAATATAACTGAGTCACTATTCTTCTCTAAATGGTCATATTTTAATTTTTGATAGAGCATCAAACAATGAGCTGATGATTGGTGATTGATGGCAACATATAGCCTCCAAAACCAGCCTTGGAACGTTGAGGCCATTTTGGCCAGGGGTTTTGACTTGCCATATATAATAATATGCCCTAAGGAATGTTAAGGATACTAGTGCACTCAACGCAACATCGTGTGACACAAATGTTAGGCTAATGTTGTGCGTGTCATACACTCAAGAGGTTGTATGCATGTGACATTTTAATTTATTATTGTGTCCAGCTGATTAGGTTATTTATTAATTTTTTTTAAAAAAAAGGCCTCCCACACTCACCATTCCAACAAAAAAAAATTGATTTTATTAATTATTGTTTAACCTTATTTTTTAAGGTTAATTAACGTTTCATGAGTGTGACACACATGTTAGGCTAAATAGCGCGTGTCACACATTAATAGAGATTAAAATCGTATGCACGTGACACATTAATTCATTATTGTGCTGATAAGGTTAATGTAGTCACCTCATATCAAGATTATCTTCCATGATGCGCGTGACCCCGCAGAACGTGGAGCTGGTTCAGGACGCTCGTGCAGCGCGGGCCTGGCGCGACGAGTCTGACATCCTACGCGAGCGCGCTGCCAGGGTGGACACGCTCGAGGCCGAGGTGGCCAAATATAAGGACAAGATGGCAGATATTCAGTTCTATAAGACTCGTGTCCAGGAGCTCAGAGAGGATAACAAGTAAGGCGATTTTGAGGAGGAGACGCATGCTTTTTTTAAGTAGTTTATTGTTGTTTTTGTTTCGTGGAATGGTTTTTCTGTTAGAATGTTTTGCGAGCTTTTCGAAATAATTTTTTTTTCAGGTCTTTTTAGATTTTTATTTCACTTCATTGTTTCAATGAGAAAGACAAAGATGTTTATTAATCTAACGTAAATTCTATACTTCTTATTTACTCTGTAACGATTTCTCAGTTTAATGAAGATTTATGTTCACCGGTTCGATTTCTTTACAGGCCTAAATATTGTATAAAATTTTATTTCTACGGATAAGCGAACCAATATTATCAAATCATTTTACACGTGAGTGATCACCACTATAAATGTTGAACCATCAACCCTCATTTCTCGACAGAATGTTGTCAGAGACGAAGGACATGTTGGAGCAGCAACTCGAGACCTCGAGGAAAAGAAGCGAGCAAATTTTGGAACTGGAGAACAAAATCTTGACACTCAAGCAGAATATTAACCAAATCAACTTGGTGAGTTAAATTAAAATTATAATAATAGATGAACAATTGAACTAATTCGAGAAATGGGAGGTCCAGTAGTCGTAATTGCAACACTTGTCGAAGCATAAAAATTTCGCCGACTCTTTGTTAAAGAAATTAGCAGTCGATGATGCCATTTGTATTTATAAGCCTGTTCGTGATTTTTAATATAAGAAAAATGGTTTAATGTCACTAGGAATATTTGTAACACAAAATGCTATATGAAAGCCTTCAATGAACTTGCAAACTAATGCCAGTCTGTTCAAGTCTGTCGAACAGTTTTCAGGCACTAGCGTCTACGAAAGTAGCTCTTAATTTAGCCAATAATTAATAATTTAATTATTGGTAAAATTAAATATTTAATTTAGAATTAAATCTGAATTGAATAAAATTTAGTCACAATAATAAACACATGAGACTAATCCCAAAAGCTTGAAACTAATCCCTATTTTGAAACTAATCCCTAATCCACTGCTATCGGTAAAAAATTGATATAGTTATAACAGTCTTGATTCTAAGCAAATCGTGATACTAAGCAATTGAAAATTATTGCAGGAGCGGAAGCATTTTGAACAGTTGGTAGGCTATATTGTAACAGTAGGTAAAAGTAGTCATTAATATTGTTAAAAAGACGCATAAAATAATTAATCACAATAATTGACTCTTTCAAAACTAATTGCAGGAGCGTGAGCGTGACCGAGAGCAGTTGCAGGAGCTGATGGAAGAGAACGCTCAGCTGCAGATGAGCGCACGTAACTCCCTCAACGAGTCCACGACGCTCGTAGCGCAGATAGACAGGCTCAAGACGGCAACCACCAACGGCATCAGCATCAGCTCCGACCTTAACAGTCAGCTCTATTACTATAAGTTTTGTGTTAATAAATCTTGATATTTGAAGTCTAGTTATTAAGTATTGATACTTGAAGTATCAGATCTCAAAAGTGAGCTAAATTATATAGTTCTTCGCTGTTTATCGCTTGTTATTGTTTAAGATATTCAACCTCAAGAGTGAACTCGCTTTGCATACTTCATAATTTTGTAGAGGATTTTGCAAAGTTCTTTGTTATGAACCCAGGCATGTATTTGTAACTTTAAGTTCTGCCTCCCTACATGAAACATATGAAATTCTATTCAGCTCATGTAGCGATTATCTTATAAGTTATGATCATGTGACCGTCCTCGATAAACGCCTCTGATAACTGTTACAAAGTTTAACACTTTCACATTAGAGTTCATTTATTTTTATACAAGTATTAATTCTGCTTTACTACTACGAGTATTACTTTTAACTATGACGAGTTTTCTGCTTCACTACTACGTGTAATACTTTTAACTATTACGTGTATTCTGCTTCGCCACTTCGACTTTTATTTTTAACTATTACGAGTATTCTGCTTCACTATTACTTGTATTATTTATAACTATCACGAGTATTCTGCTTCGCCACTACGAGTAATACTTTTAATTATTACGAGTACTCTGCTTTACGACTACGAGTAATATTTTTAACCATTACGAGTATTGTGCTCAGGCGACGCCCAAACTCGGCTGCTGAAGCTGCAGCTCGAGAACCAGCGGCTGGAAGGGTTGCTCGAGAGCCTCAGATCGAGCGCCGCCGAGCAGTGCTCCGAGAAAACCATCGAGCTCGAGAAGGAGAACAAACGACTCGCTCAAAAGGTGAGACTCGTTTAAATTAATGTGATGTATGTACTACGAATAATCAATTGACTTATAATTTTATAATTCCTTCTTGAAGTTCCATTTTCAAGAACACTAATGAGAAGGAGAACAAACGTTTGACACAGAAGTTGAGACCGGGTTAAATAAATGTGAGATATGTACTACGTCAATAAACAAAATAAGTAGGTAACATCTCAACGTTGATATTTACAATAATAATTATCATGAGAAAGATAACAAACGTATGGCTCAGAAGATGAGCTTAGTTTAAATAAATGTGAAGTATATACTGAGCAACGAATTAAATTACATTGAATTATTTCCCAGAGTAGATATTTGCAATGAAACTGATGGTATCATGAGGAAGATCACAAACGATTTTCACATTAAGGTAATATATGAGATTGCGGGTAATTTGTTCGTATGTTTATATTCTCAATAATGCAGTATGTTTAATAGAACAGATATTAATAAACATGGAACACATTATATTAAGAGAATTTATTACTTACTTTTATTATTATTAATTTTTAAGAAATTATATTATTTTTAAAATAGAGATTGGTTCTTCCACTTGAAATAGTCGTTCGGAAGGATTAAAAATTTAATTTATTTCTATTATTTTGTGGTACTTGACTTGTGTTAACTGCTCCACGACAGCGCGCCGCCTGTCGCTGCCAGTCAACGTGGGCACGATCAATGACAGCTCCAAAATGTCATTGTGATGAAGTGCTTGCTCGAATACTTGTAATTGTCAGTTAAAACTACCAAGAATTGCTGGTTAATGTTGCCATGTTGTCCAAAAAATAACCCATTTAGCAGTGATACGCTCTTTTGTCAATCTTAACTGGGTTCGGATGACCCACATAAGGTGAAAAAGTACATCACTATTTAGACAATTCGGATAATTCTCATCACTACTTGGAAAATTTAGATAATTTCTCATCACTATTTGGACAATTTCCCACACATTTCTGTGAGTGTAACATTATTTTGTCTGCAGGTCCTAGCACAGCAGGAGAGCGAGCGCCGGGAGCGGACGGAGCTGCATGCCGCGCAGGAAGAAACTCTGCAGACCAAGAAGGAACTGCAGAGGCTGCAGGATACGCTGCAGACCGTGCGTGAGAACGCTGACAGACAGTGCAAGGAGATGCAGGTGATGATCGAACTCATTCTGTAACTGAAATTTACTTAGTTAACGGAGATGTGAAAATACAGAGAAGTTTGTGTAAAATACAAGAGGAAATTACTTATTATGAGCAGGGAATGAAATTGATACCCTGCATTTGTTTCATACGGCCAAGTTTCAGCCATTAATTTAGTTTATTGCTTGACAATATCCTAAATTTCTTTTATAAGGAGTTTTACTTACGTTTTCGAATCTGCTCAGCGGCCTCTGACACTAATAGGGCCATGTGCAGGAGGCTTTTAGAGAACTTATTCAGTCGCTTTCATCGATTCTAATTATTATAATTCTTATCGCCATTGCTGTAATTAGTTTTTTGTTTGTTTTTGTTAATTCATGGTGTTTTATTTCATATTTATTGTTTCGAACTTCTAAATATTCGTTATTTTTGCCTTCTAAGCTATCGTTATTCACTATATCACTTGTTACCAGTTAATTCAGTATTTTCAATGTAATTTCTGCCCTGATTACTTGCTTTTTTCCTAATTATTTGAATTTAATACTTAGGAAGAAACGTCGCACCTGCACGAACTGATCGAGAGCCTGCGTGAACGGCAGCAGCAGGGAACCGACACGCTGCTACTCGACGTCGAGAGCGAGAACAAGAGACTCATGGACGCCAACCTCCAGCTGCAGTCACAGGTGAGACCAGCGCCCCTGAACCTCTTGTGGTCCAACCTCCAGCTGCAGTCCCAGGTGAGACCAGCGCCCCTGAACCTCTTGTGGTCCAACCTCCAGCTGCAGTCCCAGGTGAGACCAGCGCCCCTGAACCTCTTGTGGTCTAACCTCCAGCTGCAGTCCCAGGTGCCACTGAATCCTTATTAAAGAAATTATGAAGTTTCCTACAACTGGAAAAATAGACTAATTCTTACTCTTTTTCATAATCCAATTTATCTCGCAAGAGAACATCAATCAGGCGTGAAAAAGCCGCCAACCATCTATTCTCATTTTATCAGTTTCTTTATTCTACTGATCAGGAGCTTCAATGCATTTATCCTGAACGAGGTGTAACTTATTAATTTTGAAGTATAAAACTCACGCCTATAATAATGAAAGTATCACTGAATTTATTATGAATTGCCAGCTGTTTTCTTCAAGAAAGATTATTGGCCACGAACTTGATTACAAGAAAAAAACTCGCTTGACGTTCACTATTTTCGTATCTCAGATTTTTTTAATGCCCAGAACCACATCTTGTCATAAGCAGTACTTGCTTCAAGGTATTTGCCATGATAGAAACTTCATTAATTGAATTATAAATAGTTGAATCTACATGGCTTCTTAACTGCCCAGGTATCACGACTAGGCTACGAGAAACAACAACTACAACGGCTAACGGAGAGGCTGCGCGAGTCCGCAGATCGACTTATGCAAGTAGAGAACCAGAAGTCTGAGATGGAGCGCGAGAACAGGGAACTTCAGCAGTCGCTCTCGCTGCTGCGCGAGTCGAACGAACGACATGAAGAACTCGAGCGAAGTCATGCTAGTCTTGAAGTGGAGTTCACTAGGGTCTCCAGAAAGCTGGAGAATTCCTTGGCAACTCTAAGCAAAGTAAGGAATTCTTCAGTAAGTTACTTTGAATTCTTCTTTCAAAGTAACTTACTTACTATAAGCAAAGTAAGCTAAGTTGAAGTTAATGCGAGAGAAACGTGCATTAAATCACATTTTACATTGAATCCGCTTTTACAAACATTATTATTATTCTACAGAGATATTATCTTGACGTCTGGTACGATCAGATTTCGAGTACATGTTAAATATTGAACCAACATAGAAAAAAATTATACGTTAGTATCAAAATAAATACTGAAAATCTAAAAATAAATATGAGTCAGATATTTTTATGAAATAGTTCGGTCTATAAACATTAACATAAGCATGAAAACAAATACTGACAATAAGAATAAGACTATACGTAACAGTCAGATACTATATGAAATAGTTCTGTCTATAAACATTAACATTATACTTCATGTTTAGCTGGAGAGCGTGCAGAGCGAGAAGCTGCAATTGCAGGCTGAGGTGGAGAGGCTCAGTCGCAAGTTGGAGTCTGTTAAGATCTCCTCCATGAAGATCGCAGACCTGGAGGGAGAGAAGGAGGGTCTGGTGCTGCAGGCGGAGCAGCTGCAGCAGCAAATTGCTGCTCTCCAGCAGGAGACTGCGAGAGTGCAGCAGCTGGAGATCGATCTCATGGCTGCCGGTAACGAAACACAAAAACTCAAACGATCGATGGATTCGTGCCAGAAAAAGATGAAGGATATCGAAAAGGAGAAGTCTGATTTGGAATCGGAGAATTCCAAGGTAAGCTAAAACCTACTTCAATCGTATTTTTTCAGGTGATTCTAAGATAAGTATGCAATGTTTCTATGTTGTTTTATTCATTAAAATCAATTTTCAGCTGCTTTCATACATTTCGCCATTTTCAGTCAACGCCGTTAATTCGACCTAAATGATTTGCGCGCTCATGGATGTATGGATAATTTGATATTGCCGATGCAGAGATTATTATACCACAGATTATGATTATTAAAGTAGTGAACAATTGTGCGGTTGAACTGACAAGTTGTTTCGTAGAAAATTATGAATAGGTTCTTGAGTTTCATTTGTGTTTCAGATTCAGATTTATTTGAAACCGATGATAATGAGACCCAATAAATCTGTTAAATTTAGTTAAAAAAATTATTCGTCAACTCTAACCGTGTTTTGTGGTCTAACCGCGTGATTTTTTAGCACCTCTTACTATATTCCTTACTACACAGTTTGTTTACTCAAAGTTTATCATTCTCTCAATAATTTAATTTCTCAGTAATTCATCGAATTACTAGGCTTTTTATCCTAACTTCGGTTATTTCAGCTTCACTTCACGCTACTGCCAGCTAGATATTCCAATTTACGTAATTTGATAAATAATTGAGGAATTATAATTTATATGTTGGTTCCTCCAGCTTCACCGAACGGTAGAGACTTTGAAGTTGTCAACCAAGAAGCTCAACGATCTTGAGAAAGATCTGACTGAGCTGGAGGGCAGCAACGACCGCGTTGAGCGAGAGAACAGATCGCTGCAGAAAGAAGTAAGTCTTAATGGGAAGGCGGAAACGATCGTATTGCTCCTATGAACTGATATTTATAGGAAGAAGTAAGTCTTAAAGGGAAGGCAGCCATGGCTGCGTCAAACGCTTGAACTAATATTTCAACACAATCCATTGTTCCAAAATTTGCCGAGAGTGTTGCATCATCCCATTTTTTGCACCATAAAGAGTGTTATATTATGCAAAGTGTTGCTCCATCCGTATTTTTATACCATGAAAAGTTTTCACAGCATTTCATGGGGTGAAATAAAAAATTAGATCAGTACTCACTGACAGAGTGACAGAGAGCGCATTTTCTCAAGTCGGTCCGTCCGTCACGTACGGACGGACGGACATGACGAGCACAATATCGCCTTTTTAGGGCATTTTCTCATTTATGGAAAAAAGGCGCTAATGTGCTCGTCATGTCCGTCCGTCCGTCCGTCTGTCTGTCTGTCCGTCCGTGACTTCACGTTTTCGTCGATGAGAAAATGCGCTCTCTGTCACTCACCGCAGTGAGTACTCAGTTATATTTTTTTCCATAAATAAGAAAATGCGCTAAAAATAAGTACCTTTTGTCGAGCAGTTAGGCCGCCTGAAAGAAGCTCTGTCGGTCAAAGACAACCTGGCCGAGGAATGGTCTTCTAAAGCCGCAAGTCTCCAGAGGTCCAACCAGAAGCTCGCAAGGCAGCTCGAAACGCACACATCGTCTGACAACAAGTAAGAGCTCGACAAAATCTTGCAGTTTTAATATTTGATTTTTGGATGTTACGATGACATTCATGGAGATGTGTAGCAAAAATTTTAATAGTGTCCATGTCAGGAATTTTGATCCGTGTTCACTTATTCATTTTACCATACTATTTTTCAATTGGCTCTATTCATCCTATATTATTAATCCCATATTTATATCATTGATAATGAGAAGTTGGTCGGTAAAACCGACCTGTAAGATAATAAACATTAAAGGTCCTGGATGTAATCAGTCAATGAGTAACTTGGCGGCGTAAATTTCGTCTTAATTTATTTTACTGAGTAACATCGAAATCAGTCATGAGAGTTTAACTCTTTTACTGTAATAGTCAATATGAGAATCCAATATCCGTCCAACCCAGTGAAAATTTACAGACGCGGCAGCTTTTGATTTGGATTACCAGAAGCTGGGGCGACTCTTAATTTTGTTAGGAATGTTTATTTGATATTCTTCTAAGTATCACCCTGGTATAAATAATTGAAATATTTGCTGTCCCCAGAATGCGAGAGCTGAGCCAAGAGAAGCTGCAGCTGGAGCAGCAGGTGCAGCGCGAGAGGAAGACGCTCGCTGCGCTCAGGGAAGACCTTGTCGCCGAGAAGGTAATACCGAAATTATTATTTAATATTTGCTAAAATAATAATTAAATACTTGTGAAGATAATAATTAAATACTTGTGAAAATAATAATTAAATACTTGTTAAAAAATAATTGAATATTTGTGAAAATGATAATTGAATACTTGATGAAAGAATATACATCACTCTTGCCTTTGATCTTTCTATTCTATTTATTGTTATTTATTGTATCCCGTATACTAACCGACATTTTAAAAAGTAGTACATCACCCTTGCCTTTGATCTTTCTATTCTATTTATTGTTATTTATTGTATCCCGTATACTAACCGACATTTTAAAAAAGTAGTACATAATTCTTGCCTGTGTTCTTTCTATTCTAATTATTGTATCCCGTATACTAACCGACATTCTAAATATTTTGGAAATGATAAAAATAACACGTTTGATCGTAGTAGAATTGTCTGTTAGAGACGAAATTATGTCATTCGCATTAATTGTTCATTTATGCTTATGTCCCTTTACGCCGTCTTGAACCGCAGCCTGATAAAAAAAAATACATTCATAAAATTACAACAATGTAAATGTTGAAATATTCACATGCTCGTAGCATGTTTTCAATGCATGTTTTTCATCATTCAACCAATAATTTAGCTATATATCGACCTAATATACATAATTTAATTAATTATAATTAATTTGTCAGAGTAGATCGGGTTTCATCATTTACTGCGATTTGAGTTTCAAGATTGTCCTATTGTATATTCTATGTATAATTTGCGACCTTTTTTCTGATTTATCCACCATTGAATTTTTTTAATTTTAGTGCTCTGAAGCAACATTATTGCAAGCTTAATTGGCGTACAAAAGAACCAATTTCCGAGCATATCCATGCATGAAATCTGAATAATTCTTTATTCATTACACGCATTCTAACTGATTCTAGCATAACTTAAAACCGTTTAAGTTCTGAACATTCAGAATGATGCATTTTATGAATGTTACTAGTAGTAGTAATGTTTTCTATAAATTTTCGTTATTTTCTTACAAATTTGCAGTAAGCTAATGTTAATTTTTACATTTTTCAAAATATAATAATTATATTATAATTTTGTGCAGTATTAATTACTCTAATACCATTTCACGTTGTCATTCACGCAGTCGCTACCACGCGCTGGAGGCGCTACTGGAAGAGACGCTCAAGAGCAGCCTGGAAGTGCGTGATGAGAAGATCGCTTCACTAGAGTCTCGACTCAATGAATCTGTGGCACGAAACTCGCAGCTACGCCAGCAGCTTCTTCAAGTGAGTAGTAATAAGTGTCAGTGGCATAATACGCACTATTTTGTGATATGCAAGGCAAATGATAGAGCGTACCGCCATATAATGGATCGCTGCAGGCGGGTAACTGCCTGGGATCGGACTGCAAAGCCAACCATCATTATTGTACTGACCTTTTCCCAAAAAAATTTTCGTAATCTAGACCTAACATGAGACTAGATATAAAAGTTCATGACATGAAACTTGTTGCCTTAGGACCTCGTGACACGAGATTAGTTACATGAGAATCCGTGACACGAAGGTTTATACATATGGACCTCTTCGTGCAGCGGCGGCCATCGGTGGTCGAATTCAATAGTTTATGGTCGACGGAAAAGTAATTTATACTGTTTTCTACTGACGGTTTCTCTCGAAACCAGACATTTAGATACGAATAGCGTTGAACTCAATTAATGAATCTGTAGAAAGAGTTTTAATGGAGAACCTGCATTATTCAACCTGAAATGTACAATTAGAATTTTGTTTTGCAGATAGTTGAAAAGATAACTATGTACTAAACAAATTTCAAAGCTAAACCGTGGAAGGAACCTGGCGTACACGTTTTTTTCCGGTAATCAAATTAGCCAGGAGAATCTTCATGAATGCGTCCTACTTTAATTGAAACGAGTGTTAGCTCACTATCCCTAGACAACGTCAACGTCGTTACGTCGCCATCCCGGTGTTCGAAGTAAAAAACGTTGAAGACGTTCATTATTAACTAGACTACAAATCTGGCAGGACCCTTCGTGTTAAATAAAATCAACTACACAAACTCCGTTAGGGATGATGCTTAATTAATTGCACTTCAATGTTGTCATATCTACACGAAACTTTTTAGTTATAATTTTTAATAAACTACACTTCGATTTTGCCACAAATGAGAGCAATAAAATACGAGAGACTTTTTAACCCTTATCAGACATCATAATTTACAACGTTATAATCGTCCCGAGTACAGGTGTCCCCACACAGTCCAAGAGGGTTGAAAGAATTACTATTTTACTGCAAGGGTTAAGAGGGCTACAAAGTTTTGCAAGGGTTAATAGGACGACGAATTCCTACAAGGGTTAAGAGGATTGCAAAGTCCTAAAGGGTTAAGAGGTGTAAACTACAGGACTACTGAGTTTGGAGGACAACAAAGTCCTACAAGTTAATCGTATTCTACAAAAGCGTTGTTTCTCCCCAGGTGCGTACAGAGCTTGAGTGCGTGCTGTTGCGGCAACAGGAGGAAGTTGGGGAATCTGGCTTAGGCTTCGACGCTTCCAGGCAAATCTCCAGCCTCAAAATGGCCGTCGATCGAATTAATGAAGAAGTGAGATGATAAAAGATTTAGTTGATTTTTTAATTAATTATTAATTCGTAAATAAAATTGTAAAAAATAATGTACTATTCATTTTAATATATTATATATTGATCATTAGTATTTCATTTTTTAGTTTTTTTGTCTAATATATTGAAAGCATAGATGTGACTTTAGCATTTGAATTTAAAACTAACTTCATTAGTATAACAGGTTTCAATGCAGTGATGCCTCGACATGTTCTTCCATAGTTCAATCTTTTTTATACTGGTAATATCATTTAGGTGTAGTAAGTCCGTTTTAATTACGGTTTCATGCTCACATAAGTATTTAGTTGATATGATTTTCAGCAATGCTAAATGAAATTTAAGCACTGTAATTGGCTACGTTAAAAGGTGTCATGAAATAATGAAATAAAAACGAGTTCATTGTTGTTTAGTTTGATGGCTCGGCACTAGTTTTATTTCAATTGGTTACTCTTTATGTTTGGAATCGATTCTATTACATATATGGGCATAACTTGCTATTATTCAGAAAGGGTGCAACTGTCTAACAGCTTTTTTGTGAGTTTCAATAAAGTTTATGTTCTATGAGACTGTCACGGATGAATTTCTTTAGAGTTTCGACTCCAGTTATTATGCTTCAATTTCCAGAATGCTCACGATAAATATTATCTCTTGCAGAAACTATCTTTGGAGTCCGAAGTGTCGAATCTGTCGAGTCAGGCCTCTAGTTACAGAGAACAAGTGTGCGCGCTGCAAAGTCAAGTGACATCGCTCGCTGGCCAGAACACAGTCATGTCCAAACACAACGCCAGCCTCCAGGTATCTCAACAACTATTATTATAATTTTTGACATTATATTATTAGATAAAATTGCCTACTTACTATAATTAATATTTGCATATTTCTGCAATAATTATTCGAAAACCAGTTTACGGATATAATTCGTGCTTTTTTACCAACTTAGCTTCAAATGTAGACTTGTTCTTTGTTATAGATTTTGATAGTATTGCTATTTTTTTAGGTAAATGCCAAAAGTTGCGTTGCGACATGCTAATATTTTGTAACAAGCCGATCTCTTTCATATGTCGACAGTGTCTTATAAATGCTGGTGCGTTTCCTGCAAAACTGACCAATTTTTTCATACAGGGAAGCAACGCTCGGCTGCAGGTTGAAAACACAACTCTGCAGAGCCAGTCTGCATCTCTCATCGCACAGAACACCGCCTTACAGACTTCTGCGTCCCAACAGGAAGCTGAGAGAGTCAAGGTTAGTGGGAAGTAATAAATTAGTAACCTTCTGCGTCAGGGCAGGAGGCTGAGTGAGTGAAGGTTAGTGGGAAGTAATAAATTAGTAACCTTCTGCGTCCCAACAGGAGGCTGAGAGAGAGAAGGTTAGTGAGAAGTAATATATTAGTAACCTTCTGCGTCAGGGCAGGAGGCTGAGAGAGAGAAGGTTAGTGAGAAGTAATATATTAGTAACCTTCTGCGTCAGGGCAGGAGGCTGAGAGAGAGAAGGTTAGTGAGAAGTAATATATTAGTAACCTTCTGCGTCAGGGCAGGAGGCTGAGAGAGAGAAGGTTAGTGAGAAGTAATATATTAGTAACCTTCTGCGTCAGGGCAGGAGGCTGAGAGAGAGAAGGTTAGTGGGAAGTAATCTATTAGTAACCTTCTGCGTCAGGGCAGGGCTGAGAGAGAGAGAAGGTTAGTGGGAAGTAATCTATTAGTAATCTTTCTCATACGGAGATGGGCATGTCAAAGAAAAAGAGAAATGCTTGTGATTTCCTGTCTCGTGGTTAATGCTTATGATTTAGTGAAATTGTGAAGGTTAGTGGGAAGTAATATATTGGTATGTAACCTTCCTCTTACGAAGACGGGAACAGTGAGAGGAGAAGGTAAATGCTTATTATTTCCTGTGGCAACGATAAACATGAAGGATTTATTTTCAGGCATTAATTATTTCATTTTATTTGCGCAGTGAATATAAATTCTTGCGAATTAATATAGGGAATAAATTTCTCATGTATACAGCCCTGAAAAGCGACAAAAACATTCTGACAGACGTTTTAGTGGACGACCGCCGCGTGAAATAAAACAATGTTACCAGTTTTTTAGGAATTTAAATGAAAACTTAGCCATCATGGTCACATTTCACGGGACGGCCGGCGACTAAAACGCCGGTCCGGCCGCTTTTCACCGTTTTTAGCGCATTTTTTCATTTATGGAAAAAATGCACTATTGTGCTCGCCATGTCCGTCTGTCCGTCCATCTGTCCGTCTGTCTGTCTGTCTGTCTGTCCGTCCGTCAGCGACTTCACGTTTTCGTCGACGAGAAAATGCGCTCTCTGTCACTCACTGCAGTGAGTACGGAGTTATATTTTTTGAGTAGTGTATCTATTGTAATTGTGTAGCTATGTTGAGTGTTTTTCTTTGGGGGAAGTTACGTTAATACGAGACTTGCTCTCAATGTCTGCGTATGAATTTATGTTCTTATTTATTGCTACGGAAAAGGCTTACGCGTGTGACAGGTAACCTCGCAACTTTATACATCTTTTATTTTCACGTTGCGAAATTTTGAGTGCTGTTTCAGAAAGGAATGGCCGCTCCCAGGGCCATTCGCAATTTATTTCAGATTTATTCATACAGTACTCGAGTCAGCGTCATCACCGCTTACCGAGCAATTACCGTACGATTATAACTAATCTAACCTTGTTTCTAAACTCATGATTACGAACTAAAGTCTCATGACCGTTCAAGCGCCATCCTCGTATGGTGAGCGCCAGAATCGCCTGGATCAGCTCTCTAACGACCACGACTCGCTACGGCGGCTACACGAGCAACTGCAGCGCGATTACGATGCTCTTAACCACGACCACACGACGCTCAAACAACAGCACAAGAACGTCAAAGCAGACTATAAACTGCTTCAGGTTTGTTGCCTTCATGTGTTTGTTCAGTGCTGAATCTTTGGCTCGTTTGGGTTAATTTCAAGGCTTGTCTTTGTTTTTCTACATTTTGGGATTAATTTGTAATTTTTGTGTGTGAATTACGTTTCGAAACGATTTATTTTTTGTTTCAGGAGTGATTTTCACTAAAGTAACGCAAGTTTTTTTGAACTTGGTTTGTGATAGCTGGTTTGCGTTTATATTTAAGATTACTGTGTGAATTACTTATAGTGAATTACAATTCACTGCAAACTTACCTCTTAACCAATAACAATTATAAAATTAAGTTAAGGTGTTGATGAATAACGTTTCTTTAATGCAATTAATTTGTATTAACTTGAAAAGAAAGTTTTCTTTTGTAAGTTCCAAGAAATCCTTAGGAAGTTGACAGATTTTTAATAAATATAACACGTAGTTGCTAAATGCATGCCTATACTGCCCTAACGTGTCTTGTGTTGATTGCTTGTGCCATGCAGGAAAAACAGAGCAATTTGTCCGCGAGTGAAGACGAACTTCTGAAAATGAAGGAGAAGCTTGATAGTGAAATGTCCAATCTCAAGTCAGACTCTATCTCACTCTCAAATCTGAGAGCAGAGCACTCTAAGCTCAAGGTAAGTAAATACGCCAGATGTCGCAGGATCAAGTTTTTTTTTCAAATTATTTACAACCATGCTGCCAATAGAAGAGTTTCAATAAATAATGTGATGTTTTCATGGTTGAATAGTTGTGATTCGTCAAATTGCTTATTGCTTGTCATGAAATTGTTTAGGGTAATCGAAAAAAAAATAGTTGTATAGTTTACGCATATTTTAATAATCCACTGCGAATTTGATTGTAATATTCCCATATAATATGCCGAATTTTTTTCTCGAATAAACTGATTCTGGTCGAAATTTCGACTGCAGCATCAAGATCCTTTTAAATCCAGTGTTTTCCAGTGATTTAACTGAAAGCTTGTTTCAAATTGCTGCAAGAATCAAACTTTCCAGTGGTATAATATGGAATTATATAAGAACCAGTCTCAAAATTGTTACAAATCCAACTTCCCAACGGTATTATATGGAATTAGTTGAACCAATATCAAATAAAAGTGTAACAAATCTAACTTTAGGACAATATTATATGGAATTATATGAACCAGTCTTAAATAAAAAGTGTAACAGATCCAACTTTCCAACGGTATTATGTGGAATTATTTGAACTAATATCATTTAAAAGTCTAACCAAAACCCAACTTTTGAACCAAAAAAATGCAATTCTGTTTGCCAGGACGACTTCCGCAGTTTGTTCGCCTCTAACGACAAGTTGCGGTGCGAGTACAAGAGTTTACAGAGCGACTACAAGGCTGTCAAGGGTGAGAACAACAGCCTTAAGCTGCGCCTTACTGAACTCGGCGGCGAGCTCAACGATGCTAAGGACCACATGACGGCTCTTGACGTTGAAGTGTCGAAACTCACCAATAAATGCCAGGTGCGTCTTAGGTTTAATTTTAGTATAATAATAAATAATATTATTTGATAATAAATTGTTATTCAATATTATGATATAAATTTCATTTTTTGGTTTTTAATTTAAATTTGGAGCCGTATTGAACCTTTTTAAAATCTGTAACTTTGGATTGAGCTCTGAATGCGTTGTGTATTTCTCCTGTTGCCGGAAATGAACAACTTTTTAAAAATGAACTTAGTGGATATTTTCCACAATTTCGGGCTTGATGTTTAAACAATAACAATTGTTGCGTACTGTTAATGAAAGTTAGTGATATGTATGTTCCGTAAAATAGTTGAAACTCCACGAATTCGTTTAATAATTCTACAATCTTAAGTTATTAGTTAAAACTTAGCTGTGGAGAAGTGAAGCCAATTACTTATATGTCATTCCTAAGTTAATGCTGTCATAAATCCCGTAGAACTCAAATTAACTCATAAGTTTTGACTGTGTGCGATATTATTCACATTCAACACAACTTGAAGGTTCTCTAATAGGTGAACAAGACGCTGGGAAACGGTAACAAATTATGTTAATTTATTATTATCTCATCACAATCCTAGTATTGATTGTTAATGGTCAAATCTTTAAACGCATGAAAATGGTGACAACTGAAATCGCCATGCAGGTGCTACAGGAAGTGACCGCGATGCTGGGAAATGGTGATAATAATGTTAATTAATTATTATCTCATCACTATTCTAGTATTTATTATTAATGATCAAATCTTCAAATGCATGAAAATAGTGACAACTGAAATTGCCATGCAGGCGCTGCAAGAGGTGAACACAACGCTGGGAAACGGTGATAAACAATGTTAATTAATTATTATCTCATCTCAGAATTATAATAATATTATCTCATCTCATCTCATTATTATATCAGTATTTATTATTAATGATCAAATTTACAAATGAATGAAAATAATGACAACTGGCATGTACGCGCAGGTGCTGCAGGAGGTGAACACAACGCTGGAAAACGGTGATAAATTTAAAAACGGTGATTTATTTAGTTAATTATTATCTCCTATTAAATATTAATGATTAAGTCTTTAAATGAATGAAAATAATGACACTGGAATCGCCATGCAGGTGCTGCAAGAGGTGAACACGACGCTGGAAGACGCCCGTCAGACGCTCATGAGTCAAGTGTCGCAGCTGCTGACGCAATACCACGACCTCCTGACGCAGACGCTCGACGACAAGCACCACTTCCATCAGGAGGAAAAAACCTTCGCGTGAGTGTATATACCAAATATTATATGAATTTTCTGAGTATTTTATAATTGTATATTATATGAATCCACCAGGAGGAAAAAAACCTTCGCGTGAGTATATATAGCGCCCGTTATATGAATTTACTGAGTATTGTATAATTGTATTTTATATGAATCCACCGGGAGGAAAAAACCTTCGCGTGAGTATATGTACCATCCGTTATATGAATTTATTGTATAATTGTGTATTATATGAATTGACATATTTAGAATGTTGATGCAAATGACCTTTGCGTGAATAGCTTCCATTATAGTAATGGTGTGCGCTTAATTCTTGATTAGAATATTGGTTAAAAATATTACTGATAAACGAAGGAATTTTTGCGATCTTCAGTCGTTGCTTCTTCTGTAAACATAATTTGACTTGAACCATGAAAATGCTTGAAATAATTTCAATTTAGACTGAATTAACTGCATTCGGTTCAGACTATGAATTATTTTGTAATGTATTTTCTTGACTGCAGCGACAAGCTGAACAATTTACAGCGCCAGAAGGAGAAGCTTGAGGAGAAGATCATGGAACAATACCGCCGTATGAATAATGCCCCTAATAACAAGTGAGTTAAATGAACACTAATTAATCAATTTCAAACAACTGCAATTGCCCAAAATACTTTCATTTTATCTGCTAGTTTTGACGCGCTCACAATGAGCTGAAATCATTGAAATATTATTTTGTATAGATATAATTATCTCGCCTAAAGGAACTGTACCCCTAATAACAAGTGAGTTGCATAAATCCAAATTAAACAATTTCAAACAGCTACAATTGCCTTAAAAAACATTCATTTTATCTGCTACTTTTGACGCTCTCAGAATGGGCTAAAATTATAAAAATATTATTTGTATAGATCTCACCTAAAGGAACTGTACGGTGTCAGACACTCGTAGCCATCAATCGAAAAGAAGTTTTTATTTAATACTTTATTTGGAAGGGAATCGATCTTTCTGGCCCAAAAAATCCAGCTCGACGGTAATAGATCCTTAGTTACCATCAATCTATTCAATAAATTTAAATTGAATTTTCGCAATTGTTTTCATGTTGCGCTGAAATTCTTCGTCTTTTACTTCTCTGTGATTCTGGCCAGACTGTCACCAGGATGCGTTCCGTACTCGTGAGTCCGCGTCCTATTTGTTAATAAAATAATAGTGTTATTGTTGTCAATCTTATTTTCAATCTTAATCCTGCTTTGACTAATTCATTTTCTTTGCTTACGAGTTCAATTATTTTTTGTGAATGATTATGAGGTAATAGTGAGACTTTGAATGTGGTGATGTCTAAAATGTGAATGAACCCATAATATTTTATTGTTTCTTATCAAACTTTGTCTCGCTTTCATTTTTTCTCAATAACGACGATTTATCCAGCCAAACATCCCGTGTATTTTTCATGCATTCGTCTTTTATAAATCAAAAGCATGCGTGTATTTCCATTTATTAGTTTATGTACTTTACCCAAGCAATGCGTTTTCTACGTTGAGTGTTTTACAATTCCTTGCTATTGTAAAATTAATGCAGCCGCGCATGATCATGAATAATTAGTTTAATGTGATACTCCTTATTTATTTTGAAATTTAATGACACTTTGTAAATCTACTAGATTTTTTCAATGAATATAAAGGGCTGAAAACTCAAATTTAACCATTTATTGGTGTGATCTTAGTTACGTAATTAATCTTAGTTTCTTCTTAATTCGTGTTTGAAAATTTTACGCTTTTTACATTTTTACATTTTTAACATGTAAAATCGTGGATTGATGATAGATTTACCATTGATTTACCATTTTTCTTTCGTCTTAAAATGTTTCGAATTTTCGAAATCAAATAATTGAAGATTATTATTAAGGTTCGAAGTTAAATGAGTTTAAAGCTGAGAAACATTTGATATTTTAACTGTTTTTATCAAATAAGTATTAGTTTACTTTACTGATTCCCCTAAAAATCTTTATCGCTGGCCTCTAAACCGAAGATATTAATGTTTATTCATGTTTAAATGATTTTCTTGCGTGGAAATCTCAGATTTTAAGGAGCCAACTGAAAAAATGTTCCTGGTTTGACTCGTTGCAAATTAACTGATTTATTAATGATTATTATATTTCACCAGCAGACGAGGATTTGGCTCAAACCTTGTACGACGAGTACGGAAGGCTGGCAACGATCTTATCAGCAAGGTTCCGCGGGTGGGTGCTGATATGATGTGCTGATATTACGATAATATGGTATGCTGACATTACGATGATATGATGTGCTGATATTACGATGATATGGTGTACTCTCCGTACGATAAAATGACATGTTCTCGTAAAGCTGTTGAAGCGCATTCATTCAAAATTTCGAACGCAAAGAAATGGAAGGAAAATTCTTGTGTTGTTTGCTGACATATTGTAGGAGACCGCAGCACTTGTTTTTATTATGCACTTAATTTTTTGTAATTATCGTCTTTAAAGCTGTTAGTGCATCCGTCCCATACGGAAAAAGTGGTCTGAATACATTATATTTCACTATTGTGTAACCACTATCGTGTAAAATTATTTGAAGAACTCAAGGAACGAATAACTAAATTTCTCGCACACCTTTTATCACATATATAAAATTGATAAATTGATTTAAATTTACTAATACAGAATATCAAACCACACGTTATTCTAAATAACGTGTTATATTTCACCATCTCCTCTTATCAGACCTAATTAACGGTTATTTCTCAGATCGATAACAATATCACATTTGTTCATTCGGCCTGGAGTCTTCTTAAACTATACGGGAAGATTTCAGACATAGGTACGGACTATGAGAAAAGTTATTCATCAAACAAAGTTTGAAGCGAGCGTTAATCGTATCAGAAAAATTATATATCAAGCAAAGTTTGAAGCGAGCTTTAATCGTATCACAAAAATTATATCTCTTACAAAGTTTGAAGCGAGCGTTAATCGCATCAGAAAAATTATATATCAAACAAAGTTTGAAGCAAGCGTTAATCTTATGAGGGAAACATCACCCATTTATGTGTCTCAGACCGGACGGTCGAGGTCCCGGGGACGAGAGGATGGCGTAGAAAGCCCGGACTCTTCCTCTTTGGGGTCTTCGTCCCACGCCCACGAGTCCTCATCTCTGGACTCTGGTTCCGAGACTCGTCACTCGTCCCCAACACTCCCCGCGGGGTCGTCTTCAGGAGGCGAGAGTATCCACGCCGATCCTCTAGCAGGAGTTGAGGATGGGCGCATGACACACTACAGACGAAGGGAGTCGCTTGGCACGACGGCCCTTACGAACGGCAGCTTGACGACCTCCCTGGGCGGCTCTGTGACGCTCAACCGCAAGTCCATGCCACTCTCTGTGTCGGAATTCTACCTCGGCCACTCGTTGAGGTGTGTTATTTTGCTCGATGAATAGTTATTATTTATGTATGATTCGGAAGTTTATTAATATTTTATGATTTTTTTGTTGTAATAGAGACATCAAAGTCGATGTCTCTCTTAACTGGCTTTTCTTCACGGAGTGTTTGTGGCTTACTGATATTTTTTTTATTATTCTGAAGAAACAACATCACTCTATGGTTAAATATTCAAGTCGCAATAAGATTCGAGAACATTTATATGCTTTTTGTCAGTAAATTTCTTTTATTTCACAAAACTATTGGTGATTTCATTTATATTAAATAGCCAGATTGGATTTTTAACAAGTCTATCCGTATCGCCGTTTTAATTCCTTAGATTTTTTGAAAAAAACATTCAGCCATAACCACGAAACTTGTAAAAACATTTTGACCGGTTCATATAACCTAGGCTTGTACATTCTTCATTTTATATTGACTATATACAAGGATTGCAGTGCTTGTTCATCGTATTAATGGCAACGCTTGTGCCGTATTATAATGATAACGCTTGTCCAGGGGGTCAGTATCATCCGAAGAGGTAGCAGCGTCGTTGCGGTCCAGTGACCTGGGAGATTCAATTCGAGACGAAGAGTTATCTTCTCTGATGTCTGGAGCACCTTCCCTTAACAGCTACCTGCCCCATATCTCCAGCTGCTCCATCTCTGCACTCAGCAACGGCCGACCACACAACACCTCTTTGAACTTCTCCACAAATCACATCAATACCTCGTTCAACAAACAACCTTCGAGTATCACGAACGGCATTAGTAATAATCATCATAATCAATACCACCATCATTCTAACCAATCACATGATTCTGATCATCAAAACATCAGCCATCATCACCAGAGTAGTAACAGTAGTATGGTGAGTTCGAGCACTCCTACTCCTAGTCTCACCAGCTCCATGGAGCTCGCCAGGGCTGGGTCTCGGAGACCTCTGTGTCTCTCCGACGACCAGGACTCGAGCGCCACTCGAGACAGCGAATCTGAGGTTAGATTTGGAAAATTTACTCCCAATCTTAAAATTATATTTATAATTTAGTTTAAGCTTTCATTATGTTGAGTATAAAGTATTAAGTGCTGAAGAAACAAGTTATGCAGGGCTCCTATTATGATAAAGCTCTAAATTGGATAAAATTTTATAGTTTTTAATTCTATATTTCCATGTATTCATTACTTTTGTAGTTTTGCAAACAGAAATAAGTTGTTCATAAGATGTAGCGTCCACTTCAGAGCTCAAATTAGACAAAATTAGGCATTAAAAGTGAACGGTTACATCATCTAGATAACTTTATTGAAAGCGTTTTAAAGGAAAATTATGCTGGAAGTTTATTCGTTGCATGGAAATATTGATTTTTTCTACTCTTCTCGATCATTGCAGTCGAGAAGTCGGCCTGCTTCTCGTGGACCTCAACCTGGTAGCCAATATGGCGCGCAGAGGTGAGCAGTTTATAATCATTACGTTAATCACACTAATCTGATGGAAAGCTCAATTAAGATGTGTTTCATGTAAGCTTGAAGACAAGTTTATGAGTTCGCATTCAAGTTGTGCAATCGCTTTCCTGACATGAGTTTCTCTGTATAACCTTCTACCAAAATAGTTTTTCTTGGGGCTTGACCGGAAATTTAGTATCTTATCGATTTTATTAATCATTTTATGAAGGTAATGAAGTCTTTCTCACAAGCGATTTTCATGTACAGCCTAATTTTATGTCTAAAATTTCAGGTGGAACTTTAAATACGATGCAAAGAAAAACATAACTATATTTTTAGCAATAAAACATCCTTTTCCATTACAAACATGTTATCTTATTTTTCAGGGACTTGAGTTACGTTATTGAATGCTATTTTTTGCATTTTTCAAAATGACCGAGAGTTTACCTCCCCATTTTTTATAGNGGTATGAGTACGGTTGCGTATAAAGGAAGCCCAATAAGGCGAGTCTGTCATCACCAGCCACCGACATGGACGACGTGGTGAGCGTGACGTCAGTCGGAGGTAGCAAGGAGAGGCGGGTTGCCAACTCTGTGTGGTATGAGTACGGTTGCGTATAAAGTTCGCTTATGAGTATTGTCGGATTATTATTGCTAGAGCGGTCGATGTGGTCTCTCTACCGATATTTGCATTTTTTTTCGCATAGAAAATTATGTTTGTTTTTTAATGCTGAAGTTCGTTATTTTGGAAGGTAGGTATTTGTTTTCTAGGACAGGACAGTCGGTCTAAATCAAAATTGATTGCAAAAGTTTTTATCCAATTCTGTTGGACGCCCGTGGTTTTGAACTTGAAATTTTCTCCGTATCGATTTCAATTCCATTACAAAGTTTTAAATTTTCTAACAAAATTTAAATATTTGAATTGAATGTATCGAGTTATTCCTAGATATTTCTGACGCATTCTTTCGAGTTAGGTATCATTTTTGACGTTTTTAGAAGTTACTTACAATTATTTCCGATTGTATGTTCGTTTTAAACTCCCAAGACACTGGTCGACTTATGATGGTCTTGATCTTGCTTCTCTGTGATACGTTGTATGTAAATTCAGTTATGTAATTAATTTAACTACTGCTAAATTCGTTAATTAGATCATTTTTTACTCAATACCCTAGGTAGTGTATTGATTGACTGGTGCATGGAAAACAATGTGTGTACAGAATGCCTAGCTTAATTACATTGCATCAGTCGGTGACTGAGCCGTCGGTTATGGAAAGCGTTCCTCGAGCCGAGGCTTCAAGTCCGACGAAATTGATCTCAACTCAACCGAGGATATTTCTTCTATTGCTTCTGCGGTACTCAACCCGAGTATCTCTACTACAGGCACCTACTTTGCCATTCGGCTTTTAGATTTATCATTAATAATTGAGGTCTTTGTATTAGATATGAATTATTCAGAAAATTTGTGTGCATGCTTCACACTGTTCAGGAGCTTCCTTATCTCGCTTCTATGTACTCAGTAGATTGAATTTATTCCTTAGGCGTGCAAATCGAGTGGCTTATTGATGAGCTGTAGCAGGCTTCTTTGAAGCGATAATATTCTCTTCTCTGTTAGTATGGAATTGTGATGGCTGCTCTTCTGCATTTCGACTCCGTTGTTTTATTTTTTTCCGATAATTGCACGTGTTCTTGGCCGCAGTTCTGCGTGGAAACTATAACGTCAATCTTGATTTTTTAATTTATTAGTTTTGGTGTCAATCGCAAAACATTGATTTTGAATTTTTCCTGATTTGAAGTGAGGAAGTTTTTTGGCATATGGTCGAATAGTTTTCAGCTGTAAAAGTTTATCTAAAATTTATCCAGTTTTTAATAAATTTTATTTATATCTCGCTATTTGTTGATAAATATTTTCAGTTAAGGCCAGTCACCGTACTACTGAAACACTTTCTAAAAAAGTGAAATTTACTTATTTCTATCTAAATTGTTCCTTAATAGGAATATTTATTCCATCATTACGCCTTTTCAAACTGCCTAGGTAATATTAACCAGAATATTTCAGCTTACGTGTAGTACGATAAATACGCCAGAATTGTTTCCATGCTTACAGTGCGACGTAATAATACTGTCATGATGTCATACTGATACGATGGCATCACTGCAGGGTAACGTAATTTTCTCATTAATAGTCGCTCTCAGATTGTGTAGGGGAAACCTATGCCGTTGCTAGCATTGAAAAATAGTGTAAAACGTACAAGAAATTTGTGATCTTTGACGGTACCAGCGGCGTAAGGAAACAACGCAGTTTTTTGCTGCTTAGTGTCCTGTAAATTGAGTCATGTTGCACTTAAGGCTGCTAAAAATTTTGTAAATAACACGTGTAAAAACAACCATCGCGTTTAATTTTTCCTCCATTGACAACTGTAACAGGAAATGATGTAGAAGTAAAAACCGGTTTATAACAAAGCGTACGTCTTCAGCTAACAAAGTATATAGATACACAAGCTCAGGGATAAATTTATTTTACCACCAAAATAAGATGCGTTTTCATTTAAAATCAACTAATAGCCATATGTAGTTGGCTATCATTCACATATCTCGGCCACTACTAAATATGTCATACCTGCCACTTCTCACTTGTTCAAGAAATAAAAAAAAAATATTCACCACATCACTTATTTTCTACTTGGAACTAACAAAATCGACTCGACATAATTTTACCCACAGCGGTCACAGTGAAAGACCAAACGTGTCAACGCGATGAAAGTATTTCAAATAATCCTTTGCAACACATCAATGAGAAAAATTTTACCGTACGTTGTTAAAAAATTCCACCTCATTTACAAGCAAACACTCAAAAGGTTGGTACGAGATGACATGATCACACGACTATCGGTAACATGGGGGCAAACGCTGTCGATTGCCAATGTATCAATCGTTTGCTATCATCATTTAATTCAATAACCATCGAATAATTCCAGAATATAATTTCCCATCTACATACAAATTTTCAATTGAAATGCTGAGTAACGAAATCAAGTCCCGAACTCCACGCCAATATTGAACATCACTCCCATCACCGCAACCCTCTATTAGTTACACAACAAAAGGTGTAAGGGCGCGCAAAAATAGCAAGGTAATTGTATACATAGTACCCGGTTTGAGAAACACTGTACAGCTTATGGTATTTCACTTAGATGCAAAAATATAATATTTATTCTATATATAACATGACTAAGGTTCGTAGTGTAGAGGGAAGCTGGAGTTATGCTGTACAAGGTTATTATACAAATGCCACAGGCTTCCCTACTACAATCGCACATGAATCTTAAACATTAAACAACGGCAGGTGGAAGGCAGAGGATATTTATATTTATTTTAATAAATCCTGTACACGGAAAAATTCAGAAATGATTGTCGCAAATTTGAAGTAAAACAGAAAACCAGTTATGAAACATTAGGAAATTGTGCTCGTAAACATATTTGTGAAAAAATGCGATAAAGAAGCAATAAGTTGACATTGAAAAGATTAACCAATTGTACCTGAGCACACGGGATTATTAATAATTTAGTTGTGAGATTATGTAAAGGGCAATTCAGAAGTTAAAATTTCGAAATTAAATATTAGAATATAAACATGAAGTGCAAAAAGTTAAACGGGAGAAAATGAAAGACATATCAAGTGCGGTGAAAGTACAAATTTAAATTAATCATTTTTATTTAAATCCATATGAAAGTGGAATGTTGGCATTCACTTCAACTTGTTTCCGGCTTTGAAAATAATAGAGTGACTACAATTTTGAAAAATTTTAACACGCTTCTAAATTGGCGCTGGAAAATCTATTTTTTGTATCAATAGTATTAGTGTAAATATATTGTGGCCTATTAAAAACCAAATTTTGTGCGAGCGACATTTTACAACTGTAACATGATATTAGGAAAAGGAACAAAATTTACTTCATACTTTATGAAGTATGAAGTATTTCAATTATTTTACTTTACTTCATAAATTAAAACAATTTTTGAAGCAATAGGATATTTAATACAATTTCAATTCGGAAATCAAATACTACATGAATACTCAGGCAAAATATGCGCGCACAGCAACACGTGCCCAAAGCTTACAACAAACGCCAGGTTAATGGAATCCTGACGTCAGGAAACCAAAAACAAAAGAATACGTATAATAACTACAATAACATTTATTACGTCAAAATCTCCAATTCAACTATGAATCCTACATGCAAAACACATGGTTTTTCGTACAGCAATGACGAGGGTCAGGAATAGTGAAACTCAATACGTCCTGAGCTAACACGCCCAGTTTGTCGCAAACGCATTCCGCGAGGATTTAATAAGAACCCGAGCACGGCGTAGCTGCTTAAAGTGACGTCGTGCGAGCATTACTCGTTTGAACGTCATAGGTGAACACGACGCAGCTGCTCTAAGTGACGTCGTACGAGCATTACTCGTTTGAACGTCATAGATGTACACGACGCAGCGACTTCAAAGTGACGTCGTACGAGCATTACTCGTTTGAACGTCATAGGTGGGCACGGCGCAGCGGCTCAAAGTGACGTCGTGCGAGCATTACTCGTTTGAACGTCATAGGTGAACACGACGCAGCGGCTTCAAAGTGACGTCGTACGAGCATTACTCGTTTGAACGTCATAGGTGAACATGACGCAGCGACTTCAGAGTGACGTCGTACGAGCATTACTCGTTTGAACGTCATAGGTGAGCCAGCACTGAAATCTCGGCGTCCGCAGCCGAGCTTCCTCCACTCTGCTGCTGCGGTCTGCCAAAACCATGCTGGTTTCTCGGCGAGACGAAGCGCTGGTTTCGTCCATTAGAAGTTTCAGTCTCGTCCCCTGAGACGGTAACGATGACGGATTGGTTTCCGATGACCTGAGAAGACCCGGTCGTTTGGACGATGGTCACGGTATTGCCGTCTCTAAGGCCAGCGTTACGATTATTGTAATTATTGTTGGTAGTTTGTCCATTGTTGCTTAATCTGTTGTTTGTGTTGTTGCTGTTCACAGAGTTGTTAATGTTGAGGTTGTTATTATTAGTTAAGGTGAGCATATTAGTGTTGTTGATACACACGTTACTAGAAGTGCTTGCTATGAGAACTTCGCCCTCTTTCTTGGACGTATCGTCGGCAGTCAAGACTTCTTCGGCAGGTACTTCCACCAGATCCTTGTTGGCCACCAGAGTTCCACCACCAGTGATGCTACCATCAGCATTTCTGTTCCGGTTTCTGCTGTCGTGAGAATTGGTGGAATAAAGCGAGTCGTGTGAAAGGAAAGAAAGGCAAGAAGGGTCCCTAGAATGAACGGCTGCGACATTCGGGTTAGGATTTGTGTTAGTGTTGCCCGCGTCTGGATTCTGCGAGATGGATCCTTCACGGGACCGGTAGCTGGGAGGATGACTGTAGATGCTCTCCCGTCCCAGAGTGTTTGTCATCCTGGAAGCGCGTAAATTTCAAATATTTTATACTAATATCCATCTCTTATTTAATCTATTCTTTAAATGGAAACTCAACAAAATGGTATTTAAAAGCATATATTACAAAAGCTTCTCAAAAATTTGAAGAATTTTTTCTTAACTCGTATCTTAGCGAAATAATAGATGAATTGATGAAATTTAAATCAGACTCATGGAGCAACTTCAGAGAGAAACGGTCCTACCATGAAAACAAGTCCTTCAATCAAAAATAGGTACGCACACGGATTCAAAATCTGGAACAAGACTGTTCGAAAACACGTTTAAACAAAAAATAATAATAATAATAAATAATAACAGGAATACGACTCGTTTGATTAAAAAAAGTTAATATAAAAAATTTGGAATGTGACTCGCATAATTTGAAACACGTTCATATTAAATAACTGGAATACGATTGGTTCAATTAAAAACAAAATATTCAATTAAAAACAAAATATAAAATAATCGGAAATATGACCCGTTAAATATGAAACACAACTGTAATAAAAATCTGAAGCCCAATTATTTTAATTAAAATCACGTTCATATAAAAACTTACGTGCGGTGTTGGGCGGATCTATAGGTGGGGGGTGGGGACACTACCCCCAGAGGAGGGTGGGGGTAGGGGACGTGGTGGGCGGCGTTGGCGCGGTCCAGGAGCAGCAGCCGGAGCCTGTACTCCTGCATGGAGGCTTGGTAGGACGGCGGGGGTGGGCGGAACTGAAACTCCGGGTACATCATAGCTGTCGGGGGAGCAGGAATAACGTGAATATCATAAAAACATAATAATAGTAATAATAATAATAACATGATTGTAATAATAACATAATAACATGATTGTACCATAACAATAACTGGCTTCGATGGTCTTAATAATGCTGAATAACAGTCGTATTAGCTTGACGATGGTGTTCAAGGGTTACACAATTCTTTTTAGTTATATTATGAACTGACTGGATGGTTTTCAAGGCTAAAATATTTCTTCATAGCAGTATCGGCAAGTAATTGAGTACCGTAGTGGTCACGGTCTGAATGCATCCCAGTAGCCACACCTACTGGTTAATTGATAGCGATGGTTGCGCTCACTGGTGTAGGGGTGATGTTGTTATGGTCTGAATCATGTTGTCATGGTTTGAATCATGTTGTCATAATCTGAATCAAGTTGTCAGGGTCTGAATAATATTGCCGTATTCTGAATCATGTTTTCATCGTCTAAACCATGTTGTCATACTCTGAATCAAGTTGTCTTGGTCTGAACCATTTCGTCATGGTTCGTATACATTTCAAGTAGCCACATATACTAGCTAGATGGTTGCGCTCACCGGCGTAGGGATGGTGGGGGCGACCGAACGTGGGCGCCATCCTCGTCATGAAGCGTCGGGACTCTCCGCCGCCGCCGCGCATGACGCCGTCCACGCCGGCGGGGGCGAGCCCGAGCATCACCCTGCAGGGGGCGTCGCGGGACGTCAGGTGCCACGCCACGCCCGACACCGTGATGAGCACGATGCCGACCCCTGCGGGGGAATGGGGGTTAAAAAGGGGGATAAATGCGGGGGAAATAGAGATAAATAATAAAGGAGGGGAAAATAAAGATAATGAATATATACGAGAACAATATAGATAGAGACAAAAGGCGGGGGAAGATAGATAAAGAATAAATACAGGGACAATAAGGATAAAGAATAAAGGAGGGAGATAATGAATATATACGAGAACAATATAGATAGAGACAAAAGGCGGGGGAAGATAGATAAAGAATAAATTGATGAGCTACTGCAGAAGAACTAATCAAGAATTTCAAAGCGTAAATTCCAAGAATATTCACCATTCTTCATTAGAGCGTTCTATTATAAATATTCATTAGAGCGTTCCATCGTAATGTAAATGAAATTTCGGGGCTTCATTCTTGGTCAATTAGCGATTGAAGCAATAAAATGATCTGCCGAGAAATATATTGAATTAAATGAGCATCAGGTGATAGGTAAATACAATGCTTGTATCTGGACACTATTTGTGAAGCGAATACGAAAAATGTAAACTATATAAAGATATGCCGGCCATTCTACTGGTACAAGGAAAGAGCAGAGGCATCTGAGGAACTTGCATGAGTAAGGAACTGCTACAGTGGATTGACGTTGTTACATCAGACTTATAGTATTTACAAATTTACATTGGACGAAATTCACAAGCAGGAATGCAGCAAAAAATAGTAGACTGACGAGCGAGTTTTGGAAGTACAAATAAACATTCCTAGGAGGAAGCATTAAGACAAGTCCTCTTAAATTGGTAGCGAAATCGCCATACCCGTTTTCTATCCCGAAATTTAGAGTTACACGATTTAATATCGTCGTACTTTCACAGAAAAACGTTATGCTTGACTTGGAAACATCTCTTTGTAAAGCAAGCTTCGTCAAAGAAAGTAACGAGATAATTGCATGGAAGGTGAAGGTGATGTGCATTTTGTGGCAAAAACATACCAAGATCCAGCAAGCTTTCCTACGAACAGGAGATGGCTAGGATATAGGATAAGTTTTCGTCACACGTTGGTACTTGAACTTAATTTTCCTTTTATAAGATAATTAGATAAGGTTATGAGATAATAGACGCAAGAATAGGCTGACAGATATTGCGAACTTCTCAGAGAGAATGATTCGTGCGATCTTCAATATTTTCTGGACGTGCGTTCTCATTAATGATTAGCGGGAGCACCTCAAGAGAGTAAAGCGCAAGTAGAAAAGTACAACAGTAGTATAGTAGAAAGTTGACAGTAGAAAAAGATTACGAGATACAATATTAAAAAAGTTGACGATATGTTAAATGCTACTTTTGAGGCTTGAATACATAACCGGTTATATTATAATTTTTGTAATAGCAATTGTATGTTTATTAATAATGTAAAAATTGTTATTACTGAAAAACTTTATGCATCAATAATGTGCGAGTTTACGGCAAAAAATGTTTCTTGTGCTTTAATAATATAAAACGTGTAATATCACAAATGCTCGATAACTACCGTAGTTTTTGAGTACTATACGAGACTAGAATACAAGGACGCTAAATATTTCTATAAAAATCAATCTTCTGTAAATTCTTATCATTTTTAAAGGAAATCGAATTTACGGCGACTTTTAATATTCGCAGTTTACTTAAAAAAATATTAAATATTATTAGATATTAAAATATTCGCAATTTACTTTCTTTGCTTTCATACAAGAGCTGCATTTGAACTGGAAAATGGCTAATTGCTGAAAATAACATAATGAGTTTAAAGAGTTTTGAACGAAACGAGTAATCGTTTTATGAACGATATCAAGAAACTAAATATTATGCACGGAATTCGGCAAGTTTGGACAGGCTTCAAGTTGCGTGCGATTTGGGAAAAAGAAAGAAAAAAATCTTCAATGCTGCACACAAATAGGACATAATTCTTCAGGGAGCCTGAATGTTTCCGCCCACATGAAGCACACAAATTTCAGTCCGTCTGTCTGTCCGTCCGTGACTATCACGTTTTCGTCGATTATGAAAAAATGCGCTCTCTGTCATTCAATGCAGTGAGTACTAAGTTATATTTTTTTGTAACTGCTATTGTATGTTTATTCATATTGCAATAATTATTATAGTGAAAAACTTTATGCATCAAAAATGCGTGAGCTTAAGCTAAAGAATGTTTCTTGCACTTCACTATAAAACATGTAATATCAGAAATGTACGATAACTTTCGTAGTTTTTGAGTATTACACGAGACTAGGAAATTACGACGCTTAATATTTCTAGAAAAATCCATCTTCTGTCAATTTTTGTTCTTTTTAAAGGAAGTCTAATGTACATGAGCTTTCAATATTAGCAGTCTACCGCCCTTTGCTTATCATATAAGAGCTGCTCTTGAACTGGAAAATTGCTAATTGGTGAAAATAACATTAAAGAGTTGAAAGAGTTTTGAACGACACGAGTAGGTAATCGTTTTATGAATAATATTAAGAAACTAAATATAATGCACGAATTCGGTTAGTCCGGACAGGCTTCGAGTTGCGTGCGCTTTTGGAAAAAGAAAGAAAAAAATCTTCAATGCTGCACACAAATAGGACATAATTCTTCAGGGAGCCTGAATGTTTCCGCCCACATGAAGCACACAAATGGTAAAGAAGCTCGTTTCTCCATCAATAGGGAAGCACAAGCGACGACCACAGAGCCGCAGGAAGTCATGGAGGCACCAAACCTCGCCACAATTTGGCCCGTCCAGAAAAATGTCGCGGACGATTATCCAGCGACAGATAGCGCGGCAGGGAGGAAGCGGAAGAGAGGACGACCATCGCGTTTAGAAGGATACATATAAAAAGGGGGCACCGAAGTTAGGCAAAAATGTCCGAAGAAACTTTGTTCGACGACGTTGCACGAAATAATGTTTCTGGATTGGGACTAACGCAGCCAGTTTAAAATTAACAGAATTTTGTAATGTAGAGCGACGAGACGGTGACGGCGTTTTTTCCCTTGCTGAACTGAGAAAGGCACAAATTCTTGATATTTATTACGTTATGGTGCAAAGAAGAATCAAAAACGTCTATGTTCAAATTTCAGTTTCCTAGTAATCGATGAAAATTCAACAAATTTTCAACAGGACTCAGTCCTGAATGTTCCAAGAGGGCCATATAGTGAGCAAGGGCATCTCGAGGGATCGATGAACAATCGTTAGAGCCTCGATGGAAGTCACTAAAGGTAAGTGCTCCTCGATCTGTCTTCAGAACGCAACGAAATTAATCTCCAAATTTATATGGAATGCTCACGAGCCTCCAACCCAGTACGTGGCGATCCACACTTGAAAAGAAAATATCGGTGCGATAAATAAAGTTGAAAATTAGCTTATTTATATTTTTATTTGAGATATAATAGGCAGATTGAGCTTGCGAAGCTCACTCCTTTGCTCAATGTGGTGCACGACTTGAAGCTTTCGAGTGACACAGTTCCAACCGACATTACATAGTTCATTACTCAAATGAGCCTTAATTGACGGCAACGTATTGAAACGGACAAAATAGAGCAAGGCAACGATCGTTCGCGTAATTTGTTCACAATAATGAAGGCTTTCGTTCAACATTCAATGCAATTGTGCAGAAAATTACAAAGCTTTTCGAACAATTTAGAAAAAAAATTTGGTAGTTGAATTGAACAAATATTGGTCAAAAAGGCGTTGAAACATCAATCTGTGGAGAAAAATTGTGAATTATTAATCAATTGCTTCATTTATGGTACGTAAGAACTCTTGGATTACCAAGAGCTCTAAGAAGAAAAATAAAAAGTGAGAGAGATGTACAAAATTTTAAAGAATGTTTCTCTTCACATTTCTTTCATTTTCGAATAAATTACGCGCTAATAAATGAGTCGCTGCTAAGTGAATATTATAACTGCTGAATGTTTATTAGTTTTTCTTCATAAGTAAGCTGTTGAAAATTTCAGTGTCACATTAGGTGTCGACAAGTAATAATTAGATATTGTTATCCCAAATTATTAACATATCAACGAAAAATGTGCTTTTGAAGTCTGGCACCGTATATTAGCATCGAATATTCGTTGGCGAATAAATAATCATAATCGTTCCGGGGTGATGGTTGCACTCAAAATATTACCGTAGTTCAACCATGGCGGGGATACCCCTCGATCTGAAATAGTATTCTTAGCTCGAGAACAGAAAAACATTAATTGCAAGACGGTTAGGGGAGAGAGGGGTCAAAAAATTGTTTTTCATGTTTGTAAATTTTATATTTTAGGATCAAATTATTTTTCCCAATTCAGAAATGGAAGTAATTGGGTATTTTAGTATAGACTAGGGTTTAAACGGCCAAAAACATATTACATTCGCAATGAAACGTTTCGTGTAAATTTGGGTTAGCAAGACAACCACATCACGGGGATTATACTAGTTACCAAGAATGTATTTTTATGAAAATTAGTCCTGATAATTCTAAAAAAATGCAAGTTCGAATTTAATAGTGGGTTTCACTGGGTCTCTCTTTTCAATTAGGATAACTTTGTTTTATTCTTTTTTACGCGATTCGGTGTAGCGAGCATTTTAAGACAGGAGGCAAGGAGATGGAAAAATGTTGCCAATTTTTTACAAACTTAAATAGGAATAATTTGTAACTCTTCACTCATTTTTTCCCTCGCGGCCAACGCTATGTTAAGCTGCGATAAACCTACATGAAAAAAATACAAAAATTGCTTATTACACCGCTTCACTCTCAATTCATTAAAACCAATAAATAGACCTAATCAGCACCATGTAACGTTTCCACTACTAATGACCAGTTTTACTGCAATGGCGGAGTGAAAGTTATGGAAAATTTATTATACCTGCCGGGGGCTACAATTTGAAATTTATTGATGTGCCCAAGTCCTCTAGAGCCACTTTAAGTCAACCCATAAATACGAAGAGACAGAATTAAAATTTACGAGACCGTAGGCTTCGGGAGATGGTCCCCTGTGACCTAATTAGGCGGCGAGAGCTCGTGATGGCCGGCGC